GCATTTGTAGGATGAAGTTTATCTATTAAGAATAACTCTCCCATTGCTTGACCCTCTTTAAAATCCTCCAATGTTTTCTTAGTTTCAATCCAAACGCAAGCTGTCTCACTTGGTCCGACAGATATATCGGCACCACCTGTTATAATAGTGTTCGCACCTCGCAAATGTCGTTGATAGGTTACTTGTTTGTGGACATCTTTCACGTGGAAATTCCTTGGTAGACTTAATACATTCTTAAACCATTTCTCGACATCTTGCATCTGTTGAACTTCCTCCTGCTCTATATCCCATCTGAATGGTTCGCATGACACGGGTTCAAGTGGTAGAAAGTCTTCCACCGATAACTAGAATGGATAAATGATAAGTGATAAGAAACACTCCAAATAATACAAAAGAAAGTATTTACTTTTGCAGTCTTTATTCCAATATCATCCATAATTTTTTTCATCATTGTTTCGGAAAGCTTTGATACCGAGATAACATCAGGCTTTTGCCGGGAGAATTCTTCACGCACCGCACTTTTTACAATCTCGGTTAAATTCTCTGTTGATTCTTCATATTTACGCTTTAGCGTCACTTATAAAATGGAAAGCCAAAATTGGTCAGCGTCGCAAAACAATATACCAAACAGTTCATCAAATATAAGCTTTCCCGCTGTGATAATTTTTTAAGTTTTTATCGCGACAATCAACAGGGCATTATTATTAGACATTACTTACCTTCTCCACCTTTAAGAGTTTCAATCAAATAAGCGATTGATGATGTTGGTCCAAGTTTTAAACCAATACTCATAAGCTTTTCTTCGGTTAGAAGAATGAATGCTTGACCGGCGACCCAATTATCCTCAATTATTTTGATATCTTCTTCTCTGAGATATAACTCATTTTTCTTGGACTTTAGGAAAGAAATAACCTGCTCAGGACTCCACCTTTTGATTTCTTCAACGCTTGGAGTTGTTGAAGTTACCTCTCTGTCTTTCGTAGATGGGGCAATTTCGGTGGACTCAACACCCTCCATAGAAACTATTTTGTCGATAAAAATGAGTTGCTTCACAAAAATATTCGTAATACGCCCACTTTACCTGTAGACGGTTCCCTTGGGAAAGGCGATGCTATTTCCTCGGGCTTTTCTATACCCTTCGAAGATGTACCAACATTGATAGCTTGAACGTCCTCCTTAGGAGCTATTTTTTGCTGAGTGAGCGGGATATCTATGTACAAAGAATGCTCGCAACAAATCCACTTACCTGTTGAAGATTTTTTCTTTTTTCTCGATTTTGGTGGCATCGTTGGGGAAAGTGTTACAGACACAGCATCATTGATATACGCTTTAAGTGATTTTGTCACACACATCTGCTGATCACGCATTTTTGGTTACAATTGCTTATATTTATTTTTCCACTCATTTATTAGAAAACGAAGTTGATTATCTGTCCATTTCTGTAGGCATGTTTTTAGTAAAGATTTGGCCAAGATAGCCGGTTGTTATACCGATGATGTAAAAAATGCATCAATGGTCATTAATAGCTATCTCCGCAAAAAGGGTGAGTTTGTTGTATTTGA